TTTGGCAGCATTCTGTAGACGGAGCTGCCTATTTAGGAAATACAACTTTCTGCGTCTGCAATTTTTTTTAAACTCGTAAGTTAATCTGCGCAAAAATTCGGGGTCCAGACAAAATATTCCTTTCATCACCCCCGGAAGAGGTAGAGAAAGAAGGGGCGATTTCTGGGATTATGAAAGAAAAAAACTTGTAAGTCTTGGGACGGTCTTTTGTGGTCTCTGCGCATCTTCTGGTTGGCGTAAAGTTCACCTATGCGCCAAAATGTGCAACTTGTCCAGTCTCCGTCCTCTCACATTCGTGACATCTATCCGATAAGCACTAACAACTGACCGGACTTACCCTGCTAACGCGTGTTTCTAATAGGGACGGGTGATTCATTCTCAGTGACACAAGTGGACACTCAGACTGCCCTTTTGCGGCTTGCATAATCCCCTCGTGGTTCCTATAGTACGTATGCGCCATGATCAACTCTGGGCATCATTGCTATGCAATGACCGGGTAGGACCATGATCGCCCGTGCAGGCTTACCTCTCTCCTCCTCGCCCTCTTCCCCCCCCTCCACCTAGCAGAATATTGAGCCGATTTACAAATAAGGTACTTGCTTCCATGGAGTAAGTATATTGCACAGATGTGATCTATCTTTTAGACATTAAAACAATCATTCCTTTTTACTCTTCAGGACCGCACACATGCCTTGCAAACCAAATGCAGAAGTTCCCACCGGGGACGCAACGATGACCCCTGAGGTCGCGATTCCCCGACCCATTTCTCGGACGGTGGTTGATGCGACAGCGAACCACAACCACAGGGACTCGGAAAGCATCACTTCGACCGCACTGGTGTGTTTAATGTGCACGGCCTTCGCGCTGCTTCTAGGGCCGCAGTTTTTCCATTTGTAGTCCTTTTGCTCAGTCTGCATAGCGGTTCTACTGAGCTTTGCGTATGCAGGCAAAACCCTCTCCTGCACTACTTTAACCACCGATTTTACTCCCTGCTCCGTTTAAGTGGTAACAGGCAGTTTGTCAGACGTGCCTGCTGCCACAGGAAAACACACACGTTTGCACCAATACGGGCACTGATGGAGTAATACTCGAACTAAAAACATCGGATTATGTTCCATTTTATAATATTAGTTTAGGAGCAACAAGAGGAGGGGGTCAGTGACTGAGCAGTTCAGCTGCCGGAAACAGCAATATTATGGATAATGATAACCTTTGTCTTTGTCGTCACCTCTGCATTCGCCATCATAATTTTTTTCATCGTCATTAGCTCTGTTCTTCAGACATCACATTTATTTCATAAAAGAAACGAGGTCGGCCTTTAGCCACTTTGGATGTCTTCAGTCCTTCAAATAGGACATTTCATGAGTGTTATATGATATGTATCTAGTACAGGCGAGTTCAAAACAGACATTCGGTTGTTTATTCAAAGTTGTCTCCTCTAATGCTTTGACTCAGACATCTATTTACAAGGCAACGGAGGCAACGAAAGTTATCTAATTCTAGTTCACGTTCGATATAGCATACCGACATTAGGTTTTGCAGCATTTTGAGACAATCATCCAGATCTCAGTCCCCTGAGGTTGGTTTGGAATAAATTATTCACGAGATCCAAGGGCCTGTCTATTTCACAATTAACCTTTATTGAAGACCGTTTTACAACCAGTCACCCATGAACTCGCTGAGTAGCCGGCAGCTGAACTAACGCATTAATAGTTTTCCCAATATCCGCTCACCAGTTTTGTTCAATTACGCCACTGACTGTCTTCAGCTAAGGATCCTACACGGTTTTGACCATGATGGAGTCTGCAGCCAAACACTGACCGATCTCAACTGTATTGACGGTGTCGGCCTGCTGGCCTGAAGCTTTGGTCACCCATAGTCTGTGGTACAGTTGTTGAATGGCGTGGCTCAATCTCTTTATTTACGAACACTGGGAAGACCAAA